AATAACTAACTGATTAAAGGTGATATTTGTTTTGACACATCATGAAAATAAATGAAAAATACAACTGAAAGTGTTAGGTACAAAACTATATGTTTATCAAATCTTACAACTGAATGGTATCAAATGTCATATACAAGAGAAAACCAAATACGTAAAACATTCTTAAAGCCACGTAAAAAATGTGCACTTTCAATGAAACAGAAGTGTTGTTAATACACTCTCAAAGAACTGATCAGTTATAAATAAATCTTTGTGAAGGGCTATAATGGGCTTCCATTATAAGAAATGCAGGAAAAAGCTTATCAACAATGTATGAAAATTAGCTTTTTGAAAATATTATAAGGTAAAATTATAGCAAAACAAAAGTGTGACTATATAAAAAACAAACAAGAAATTAAAAGGAAAGCTGGATAAAAATCCCAGTAACAGAACTCAGAAATGAGAGCAGTTTTAATTAGGGTGAGAGTATATACACTTAAATAACTCGACTGTTAAACAAAAGTGAAAAACAGTTTCATTCACCTGAAGGTTTCTAGAAAAACTAGAATGCTCACCCTTAAATAGACAAAAAGAAAGTCTAAGCTTCGAAAAATAGAAAACAAAGTTCAAAAAATAATAAAATGCTTAAATTATTCAGGCCAAGTGAAAATGTCATACCAAACAGCATAGCAAAGCCTAAAAAGTAAGAACATTATGAAGTGCCAAGAAAAAAATGTGCCAAAATATAATTGAGCAGGTATGATATAGGTATGTTATGAAGTTGTTAACAATTGGACTATTTTCTACCAGTAACAGGCATGATACACATGCTGAATCATGTCAGCTTATCACACAGATAGAGTGTGTAGATGATGTAAATAACAAGCAACTATACCTAAATCTTGGCAAACAGACTGGGAATATGTTAAAGTAGATATACATTACCACATTTGAAATTTTTCTTTTTATTACTTATGCTCTAAAAACAAAACTGAAAACTGTAAATAACATATATTTATATTACAAATTGTAGAGAAAAATGACTGAATATGCCAACAACAAAGTATGACAAATTTCTTAAAATTTGCCTATGAAATGTTTGTTAATATCAGGAAGAATTGAATGATCTAGTCCTAATGTGTGTTGTGATATAATTTAAAATCTGGACTTCTTAATAAGAAAAAGATACTTCTATTATTAACAAAAGCATTTAATTTATACAAAGCATATGATTTTACACATTAAAATGCAAAACTAACAATGAATAATGGAAGTCAGCAAAAAAAAATACTGTTTATGCTATGTATACTATGCAGATTAAAAAAGGGTTAATTTGGTGAAAGTCTGGAAAGCGAAATAATCAGAAATAACTAGTTTCCTTAAAGTTGGGAATCCTTACTCAAATGCTGGATTGTCCACCTCCAATTTTGGTTTTTCTTCATTTTCTTCTTCAATTTTGCTGTGAGACACACAGAAGGCATAAGACAAAACACAATAACAAAAACCACACATTAAATAGTGGCCAACATTTATTAGAGCCACTGAAATCTTGGAGTGGAGAATGATTTTGACAGAATTCCTAAGAGGCACAGATAAAAATGTTTTTAAAATTCTTAGCATAACTATTAATTTTTGATACCAATTTTATTTTGTTTCATACTTTTCACTTTTCTGGTAGATTAGATCTTAAAGCTCACCATTTAAGGGGTTATGCTGTGTGTTTAAAAATGTAACTATGTTGTGGTTACAATATTTTGTATCTGCACTTGATCTGAAGAGGCATGGAAGATAAATGCACACCTGAAGTGTTCTATATGATAATTCTACATCTATAGAAAAACTCTGAAAGGCTTGGAAAACTGTTACAGACACATGTTGTTTCAAGCTTGATAACACCTTTAAAACTACATTTTAATGACTGGTCTCATTTTTGTTCACATTACTATATTTTTTTATAAAGAATGTTTTCTTTCAACACTTACCTTGCCTTACCATCTTCAGCCTTAGCAGCACTTTTATTTTTTTCATTTACTGGCTTTCCACACATATTTCTGAAGAAATAAAAAACACCCCACTGGTATCGGAAGTAAGCAACTAAGTCGATAAGAACACATATCAGGACTATGAGCACAACAACTATGATTATTATAGCGGTAGTAGAGATTCCTGCTTGTTCTGAGATTGCTTCTTGCTCTTCACCACGTCCAATTCCTATTCCATCATAAAAAGTAAAGTAGTTTACTGAAATTATGCTATTTTAAATCTCTTGCATAACACTAGTTCATTATTATCTTATGCTAGCTAATTTTTTTAGCTGTTAAGTTCAAATCCAATTACACTTCCTAGAAGTAATATATTAAAAACATTACTAAAATCAGATAAAAGTAAGTTCTTATGATAAGTCTGTAATGATCAGATACCTGGTGATGAGAATGTGTAAAATGAAAAAAGTCTGAAATATTTCTAGTCAAATGCTGAGCACCTAGCATACTTCCCAACCTCCAAAACAGTTAACAATTAGAAGCTCTCTGGTGTATTCTCTTATATTTTTTCACGTGTTTGACAGATATGATGTCTTTGAAATTTACAGTAAATTATGCAAATTTGTTTAGTTATTTCACAGTTCAATGTGCTTTTTAGTAATTCCATGTGTCAAAATTTTGGATAAACCCCATGAAGCACAGTTTATAAGTTATTTGCATATTGTGCATGAATTTGAGCTCCCCACTTGTAGTTTACTTCCAACAACAAATCAGTCCCACTTAAAATTTTTTTTTCATCCAAACAATTTTTCTAGCCCTAATTTCATCATGCCACTAGATTACCTTGTAATTTTTTAAATTCATTCTATTTTTTAAATAAAACTAAGGTGCAAATTTTCAACAATGTTTTGAATTAAAGATCCACACTAGGGAGATCAGGAAGACAAATTAATTAAATTATGATTAGCCAAAAATTGTGGTACTTATACGTAATTTAATGGGACACAGAGAATACAATGTTGTTGTGCAGAACTGAAAGATGATGACACTCATTTGTGAAAGCATTTTCCTAGACTGAAAATATATTACCGATAGATACTTACCTCCTATAACAAAATAGCTTTTTGACAAGCACTGCCTCTGTCGGCACAACTTTTTTATTGCATGCCACTACCCTTCCACCTCCTGCTTCTACGTATCTCAATGAA